TAGCATCATTTATAGGTTTCTAGCTGCCCCTCCCCTTGGGCTTCACAACAGAATTGAAAAATTGTCTTTGCTACAAACAGTTGTTTTGCATTGGTTTTGCTTAGAATTTTCCTAACAGCGGTTTGGTAGCTAATACAATTAAACGAAAGTTCTGTCAAAAGAAATAGTAAAAGGCTCGTGCCTTAAATTTTCTACTCGTGTCGTAAAGACTATTAACGCGAGTTGCGTACACTACTTTACCTACGACCGTTTTTTAATTACTATCAATCTGGATTTAATTACTAACAATCACTACTGATAACTTTTTAGAGAGGTTATGTTTTCGTGTATTGTCATTGCCACTGAAAGTGATGCAACGACTTGTTGTATAATCAGCTGATTTCCTGTAATTACGTGTTTGTTAAACTTCGTTAAATATTACATTGCTAGCAGCATTCTTACCATAAATAATATTGTATCAGGTACAATTCGGCAAATATTTCATTTATTTTTGGACTTCCGCCAACTTAATTAAGAATACGCGAGTATCAACATGAACAAGTCGGATCAACAATTAAATTGGTCAACTGATCAGCTGATCAGCTGATTAGTTGACGTTCGAAGCATTACAATTTTAATTCTTTTCTCTCAATACTTGAACCTCATTGGTCCGTTACCTGTGTGGATATGAGAAAAACTATGCTGATATGAAATGAAACTATGCTGATATGAAAGTAAACAGCTGTAAAGTGAAACTTTTCAATTCTAAGAACTGGACTGAAATGGCTACTTTAAAAAACGGTCGCAGGTAAAATATGTTAACATTGTAATTTTAAAGCCAGTGAGCCAGAGCCCTGATGGAATCTCTCAAAGCTACTTCTTGTACATATTAAGTGAAACCTATTATGGAGGTTAAGTGAAACCTCCATGCCACCAAGTTCTGAGTACATATGCATGGTAGTTTTTGAGGAATAGTGATCAATGAGTGAGTGAGTGGTAACTGTATTATAATATAGATTATAAGGTCAAATTATGTATCCACCCAAAGTTTTCTGCGTAGATTAAAGCTTAAGGTAATGTACCTTGCGTTTAATATTTTAAGGCTTAACTTACTGCCATAAAGCAACCAATATTTTGATGTCCTAATAGATAGCTGTCCCCGCGCTTAGTAGGCATCATTAAAGTTCTTGAGTTCACAAAGACAAAACAGCTAGGCTATCCACTAGGACATTAAAATATTGGACTACTTTAAGACCGTAAGAATGCCGTAAGTCAAGTAAAATTCCTTGTCAGTCAATCACTTGTTACTGTATGTACTGAGTTGATCATGATTATGCTTTTATTTAACCCGAATTCAACAATATATTTTGATTTCAGCCAAAAATCTTTACCTTGAATTAACCTTAAATTTTCAGGTTATGAGTCCTGAATTGACCATGATTTTACCTTAATTTAAACATACTTATACCTTAATTCAACCTCAATTCAGCCTTGATTATGCATTACTGCCAGAAACGTTTACCTTGAATCAACCTAAAATTTTCAGGGTTGATTCAGGTTTCACAAGTGTTCAGTAGGGCCCTTGAATTAGCCCTGAATTAGGCTTGATGGCTTGATATTTTAAGATTAATTCAGGCTTGCATCTTTGAAAGTTTAACCTTGATTTAATACTGAATCAGGAAAAAATTGCTATCTGGGAAGCTATTCATATATACAGGGTTGGGCAAATGTGTGGATACCTCTAGTTAACTTTTTAACGCGTTGCAATAGGAAAACCTAACTCGACACATATTTACAACATAAGAAATTGCACTTTTTCATCAAAGTTACAACTTTGCCCCAGCCCCCAAAATGGGGTATTTTGGGGGCAGCCCCAAATTTTCAAATGTAAACACCTATCATGTGACCCCTCATTTTAAAGGGTTTATTAAGATAAATTGAATGGCGCAAACCAGAGGTCAATATCGCACGCCTAATCAAAATGGCAGCCATTTTAATTTAAAATGAGCAATCATGATAAAGTCTGGACACCCCCAGTTAACTTTATAACGTGTGGCAGTGGGAAAACCAAACTTGGCACATGTTTACAACATAAAAAAATGCACTTTTTCATTTAAGTTAGAACTTGTACCCGGCCCCCAAAATGGGGTATTTTGGGGGCAGCCTCAAATTTTTAAAAGTAAACACCTATCATGTGACCCCTCATTTTAAATGGTTTCTCAAGACAAATTAAATGGCGCAAACTAGAGGTCAATATCGCACCCCTAATCAAAATGGCAGTCATTTTGGAATATCCCCTATTAATTTTTTAACAGTTTATAGCAGGAAAACTGAACTCAGCATACCTTTATGAAAAAAGAGAATTCACCTTTTGGTCAGTATTAAAATATTTAATTTTTAAAGTTAACTGGGGGTGTCTAGACTTTATCATGATTGCTCATCTTAAATAATTAAAATGGCTGCCATTTTGATTAGGCGTGGGATATTGACCTCTGGTTTGCGCCATTCAATTTCCCTTGATAAACCCTTTAAAATGATGGGCCACATGATAGGTGTTTACATTTGAAAATTTGGGGCTGCCCCCAAAATACCCCATTTTGGGGGCTGGGGCAAAGTTGTAACTTTGATGAAAAAGTGCAATTTCTTATGTTGTAAATATGTGCCGAGTTTGGTTTTCCTATTGCAACGCGTTTAAAAGTTAACTACTGTCGGGGAAAAAAGTTTAGACACTCGAGTTTGGAGCTCTACAGAAAAGTAACCAACTAACTTAGAAAAACGCGTAGTATATATAAATTTTCGTTGTTTTATTCTACGTATTCCTGTCAAAACAAAAATTTTTTAGCTCGTTTAGGAAGTTTTTTATGACAGTCGGAAGGTAAAAACTGCCTGTTTTTAGAGTACCAAAAACCATCTTATGACTTTGAAAATTCGCACAATGTAAACTAAACGGCAGAACTTTATCAAACTTTAATACAATATGGACACATATATAATGAATTATTTTGTGTAGTTTCAGAATTTTTACTCTACCCAAAAAGTTTTTGTTGTAACCTTTGTAAATCAACTTTTTCTTAAAAACGGCAAACGCTGGAAAAAAATTTAAAAGCTTGTTTTGGAGGTGATTGGTTTTGTATTTGAAATATTGATACTGCTCAACCAAATTGTTACGCATATTATTTATATAAGTTAACATTTAATTTGGATAGTGCAGAGGCTGAATACGGCACTTCCAGACCGCCACCGGCTCTGGCTGGGCGCATACCCCGTACAGTGTTGCCAAATTGAACACCTGGACACTGAGCAGAGATGGGCTGCGAACTGTTGAGTCAAAACTGAACAGCAGTTATTACTAATTATTAACCATTTCCCTTCACCTTTTCTAATGAGGGCTTTGGACCTCCATCGTCACTCCCACACTTCTAAAAAAAAATATATAACACTGACAATCATTGCATATTCCGAATCTGACAATTTAGATTTAGCACCTATATTTGGGGTGGTAATACTTTCGACCCTTTGGAAGAATGCAAAACATGATATTTCATGTGAGTCAGTCAGTGACACACACTGCGTGAATCACCTTCGCTCGGTCAAGGTCCATCGTGGCAACACTGCACTGGATTCCTGAGCGGGCGATGGCGTCTGCACCCCTTGCAGGCGCGAGATCATCCAGTTTTTTGTTAATTTATATAAATAACATGCATAACAATTTGGTTGCGCAGTATCAATATTTCAAATACAAAAACAATCACCTTTGAAACGAGCTTTTAATTTTTTTTCTAGCGTTTGCCGTTTTTGAGAAAATGTTGATTTACAAAAGTTACAACAAAAACTTTTTAGGTAGAGTAAAAATTCTGAAACTACACAAATTAATTCATTATATATGTGTCCATATTGTATTAAAGTTTGATAAAGTTCTGCCGTTTAGTTTACATTGTGCGAATTTTCAAAGTCATAAGATGGTTTTTGGTACTCTAAAAACAGGCAGTTTTTATCTTCCGACTGTCATAAAAAACTTCCTAAACGAGCTAAAATTTTTTTGTTTTGACAGGAATACGTAGAATAAAACAACAAAAATTTATATATACTACGCGTTTTTCTAAGTTAGTTGGTTACTTTTCTGTAGAGCTCCAAACTCGAGTGTCTAAACTTTTTTCCCCGACAGTAGGGGTATCCACACATTTGCCCAACCCTGTATGTATGACCATTGATTAATCTTTATATTTATGCTGTATGATTTGTTTGTGAAGATTAATTAATTATCACATGTTTTAATATTGTTAAATGAGGAGTAAATAAATAATGATGGAAATGATGTACTGAAATTGACTATTATTTTATTTGACTTTGATAATAGACAATTTAATAAGTCCTAATGATCAATGCCAATGGAGGGATGATTATGATGATGAGAATTATAATTCCAATTAAAATATGAAAAATCAACATTACAGTGTATCCTTACCTGGTACTGATCAGGCAGCAAAAATATAAAAAAGACATTAAAGAGTATTCACATGAAATAGCAACACAGAACAGATAAAAGCAACAAATTATTTAAGATAAAAAAAAAACTTTTCTGTGACAATAGAAAACTGAGTAAAGGAATTAAAACTGCAATTATATGAAAACCAAACTCATTGCAGCTTTGAAAATAATTGGAGAATATCAGTTACTTTTTATATTTAAAACTCTAGGTAAAAAAATAACTAGGCAATCTGAAATACACTACACAGTCTTCCTCTTTAGAAATGCTGTTTGAATTTAAAATTTAGTTTACATAAATAAATGTCAAGCATTAAAGGTTTATCTTTGAATAACTAATAAATAACACTTGCATTAATTACAGGCTCAGTGATCTACTAAATTATTCGGAGGTTCTGCAGTCAGCAGTGATATAAAGTATAATAACACGTAGATGCAAAGAATATGTGCAGTATTTAAGATTGAGTAAAATATATACCAGGCACAAATTACCGTGAATGACTTTCTTTGAAAATAATATTTCTGTGATTGAAGAGAGAAACATTTATTTTTTAATCTAAACTCTTGTAACACAATTTTGTCACTGATTGTGGCATGCAGGTGAGTGGGTCTTGACATATCGGGAGGGGCCTATGATCTTGAGTGGGCTCGGCTGGTTTCCTTCCAAGAAAAAGACCCTACAGTTTCAAAAACAATGACCTACAGTTTGATACAAAAACATTGACTTGTTTTGGGAATTCAAACCCTCTATCTCTGCAATTAGTTTTATAATCCATATTTTCTAGCCCCTGAGCTGGTTCTATAACTAAATTGAAATTTTACCTTTGTCAGCCAGCTCCTGATTTGTTATCAACTTGTTAAGGCCGTTTCAGCATCACTGTGCCATCGTCAGACTGTTCAGTCAAAAGGCGTCGTTAAATCACAAAAACATATTTACACGAAACACACACATATTTGTCAAAACGGGGTCCTCAACAGGCCTATTTTTCAAAACCCCGTTTTGATAAATATGTGTGTGTTTCGTGGAAATATGTTTTTGTGTTTTAACGACGCCTTTTGGCTGAACAGTCTGACGATGGCACAGTGATGCTGAAACGGCCGTAACAAGTTGATAACAAATCAGGAGCTGGCTGACAAAGGTAAAATTTCAATTTAATTAGTTTTACTAATTTTTCCAGGAACCTGTCTGGTTAAGCCGTTAACCGTTAAATGTAACTTGTGGTTACAGTTAATCAGGAGTTGAGTAATTTTTTAATAGCCTGGAAGTAGTCTGTGTGCATGCAATTACGTCTTCAAATGACTGCAACTATTTTGAAAGTTTTATAAAATATAAACAAACAAAAAATTGGTTGTTAATTGTGAAATCTTTTACACATTACAATAATCTTTGAAGTGAAATATTTTCACTACATGATGTGCTTTAAGCCTGGTTCACACGCGCCCATGTGCGCACACCTGATGTGTGCAAACTGAGACTGTCCACATGCACAGTCCTAACCTCACATCTGTCAACTCTCAGTTCGTCATAGGCCAAAACTCAAATAAATCAAAATACCACATTTTGTTGACTGTTTGTACATGTCTTGGTCCCTGCATGTCTTTGTCTTTGTATGAAACATTTACTCCAAAACCCCATACGGACCGAGTTAAATAGCCCAATTTGCATTCATGGATGAGCTTCCACTCACAAGTTACAGACATTTGAAGAATTTTGCTCAAACATCACATGTGTACACATCTCAATTTTGTTTTCTGGCAAAGAGAGGTTACAGTTTTGTTGATGTAAAATTTGGGAAGGTTAATAAATAATATTGTAAAATTTTTGTTGTTGTTAAGTTAAGGAAATCTCTTTCTTTTGTTAATTTTTGAAGATTAACAAAAGAAAGAACTACTGGAATTTTTTGTACTGGAATTTTGTTAGGATTAAGAATTTTTCTATATAGTACATTAATAAGGCCTGTCACCACATTGCTAGTATTATGTGAACACAAAATGAAAAGTCATGAATTGGACCTTCTCACCATAACCGGATATAATATTAACACTTTTTATTCACGTAGTTTAAATGCTGGAGGTGGAGTCATAATACTATCAAAAACAAATTTAAAGGCTAAAAATGTTAAAATTAAAAGTTTGAATTTACCGTCAATGAATCAGTTAACATCTGAAAAGGAATTTGAATGCTGTTTGATAGAATTTAAATGTGATTCATTCTCTTTTGTGCTAGCTGGTATATATCGCTCTCCTATCTCTGATGTTAATATCTTTTTGACAAAACTAAATGCATCCTTGGAAATACTCTCAAAAACATACACTAATGTAATTATGACTGGAGACATTAACATAAATGTTCTAAACCCAAACTGTAATGAGTTTAGACTACTTAATGATATTCTTGGCTCACATAATTTTGAATTTTTAGTAAATTTTCCAACTAGAGTAACTGAAAAGACTGAGAGTGCTATTGATAACGTTTTCATTAATTTTCATCCCAACAGCATGCAAATTAGTTGTTTAAACACACAAATCTCTGATCACGATGCTCAATTATTAACCTTCAACTTGCCCAATAAAAATATGAACAATAAACCAATAACCAAAGCAGTAAGAATATTTTCTAACCAAAATCTTAAAAAAAATTCTCAAATATGCTGAGTCAGGAGGGTTGGGAGGAGGTCTACTTTGCACCAGTAGAGTTGAAATTTAACATCTTCAACAGTATTTTTATGTATTACTTTGATATGTTCTTTCCTATCACTAAATGTAGAGATACTGATCAAAAAATCCCTTGGAATAATCATGAGCTAGAAACCGAGAGGAAAAAAATTATAGAAAAAAGCACATTAGGGAGGATAACAAAAAATGAATCTTTAGTGAATTCAGCTAAAGAAATGAACAAAGCATTAAAAAAAATATTTTCAAAGCCAAACAAAGTTATATGGATGGAAAAATTTTGAGATCAGGGAATGTGTCCAAGACAACTTGGAATTTAATTAATTTAAATATAAAAAACAAAAAAAAAAAGGTTGTGAAGAGCATAGATGAAATAGAGGTAAATTCAAAAGTATATAATGACCCTACATAAACACTATAATATATAACACTTAACACAAATTAACTAACTTACAACCCTTATCCTTTTGGGTTATTAGGATATGTAACACTTTTAATGATTTTTATGTCAATGTAGTTGATTCTGATGTATTTCCAAAAATAAATACACCAAATTTATCAGTACCTAATTTAGTAATAAATAACCAAAAAAATAAATTTAGATGTGAACCAATCAGTGAGACAGATATCAGTAAAATAATTTCCATATTTGATAATAAACTATCATCAGGCTTCGACGATGTTCCCATAACAGTAATAAAGCATGCCCAGAGTTCACTTAAAAAACCATTTGCACACCTAGTAAATTCATCTTTTATATCCGGCATATTTCCAGATAAATTAAAAATTTCTAAAGTAAAACCTCTTTATAAAAAAGGGGACCAATTAGATGTTTCAAACTATCGCCCAGTAGCCTTGTTACCTGTCATGTCTAAAATTTATGAAAAAGCTATGTATAATCAGCTCGTTAACTTTTTAGAAAGCAATGATCTACTCGATAAAGAGCAGCACGGTTTTAGATCAAACCATTCTGTAATATCAGCGGCTGCTAAATATATTGAGTCAATAATTGATTCTGTAGATAGGGGAGATAAAGTAATTGGAATATTTATGGACCTAAGCAAAGCATTTGACAGTGTTTCTCATCATAAATTGTTTAAAAAATTGGAAGGACTAGGGGTTGTAGGAATTTCACTAAAATGGTTTCAATCATATTTAACTAATAGGAAACAGTTCGTAGAAATTACACACTTAAACAATCATAACCAGATGGTTAAAACAAGATCGCAGTTGAGAACAATTAAACATGGTGTACCACAGGGTTCTATTTTGGGTCCTCTACTATTTCTTACATATATCAATGGATTACCCAATGTTATTTCAAATTCAACAATGAATACCATCTGTTTATATGCCGATGATTCTAATCTTCTTGTAAGCGGAAAATCTGTTCATGAGATAGAAAAATCTGCCATCGATAACTTGATGAACATCAATAACTTTTTTTCAGATCATCAGCTATTACTAAATCTTTCCAAAACTAATTTTACACGCTTTAATCTAAAAACTAATACCAATTCAGATTACCCAGCACTAAAATTAGCCGGTGAAGATATACAAATTGTTGAGAACACTAAATTTCTAGGATTATACATAGACAGTAAATTAAGCTGGAATGATCATATTGATCATGTGGCAAATCGAATGTCAACAGGCCTATTTGCACTTTATCGATTATCAAAATTTTGTAAACTTGAATCCCTAAAATTGGTTTATTTTGCTCATATTCACTCACATTTATCCTTTGGTATAAGTATTTATGGAGGAACATCACAAGCTAATTTAGACAGAATTTTAATTCTCCAGAAAAGAGCAATACGCATTATGTTAAATTTGGATTGGCAAGATTCTGTTAGGGAAAAATTTGAAGAACTAGGCATAATGACTGTATATAGTTATCTAGGTATCAATGTATATTATATAATGTCCAAAATTCAAATAATGTCTCACTGGTAGGGGATTCTCATCAATACTGTACCAGAAACAGAAATAACTATGCAACACCTTCCCATAGATTAAGATAAAAAAAAAAACCAATGTATATGGGTATAAAATGTTACAATGCTCTTCCAACAAAACTAAAGGACTATACAAGGGCTACAATATTTAAAAATAATCTAAAAATGTACTTTTTAACCAATCCCCTGTACTCAAAGAACGAATTTTTCCTCCTACATAATATATTAGAATAAGAACTTTTTCAATAGTGATTATATCTTGTACTTTTTTAGGATTAAGCATTATGATTTTGATCCAATGTAATGACGCCATTCGTGCACATGTTTGCAAAGTATGAATAAAGTTCATTTCATTTCATTAAAAAGGCCTGTCACCACATTGCTCATAAGGCAAACTTAATGTGATTAGAAGGTTTGCTGTTTTACCTTTTCTACAATATGTATTGAAATTTATAATAGAGTAGAAAATGGCCTGACTCGAAAATGTTTGATGAGATTTTAGTAATGTTACTAAATGTCTATTGAATAACATTGTGAATAGTAAAATTTAGATTCATTAGCTGTTAAAATCTTAACGAGATCATTTTTGTGCCCTAATACAGACATTATTTTTATACTTTCTTATTATAACTGTATGATCCAAAACTGTGGGAAACAGAGAAAACAAAAATTAAAGAAAACAAACACGAGACAAACCTGTTTTTCCATCACGGTTTGCTTAGCTGCAACTCGATCTTTATCATTTTGCTGGTTACTGGAGGGGGGGCCAGAATCTGCAAATAAAAATAAGTTTATTATAAGTTGATCTGATATAAATAATGAAGTTGAATTGTTCATCAGTTCCAGTACTAAATCATGTTAGTCAATAATTTAACATTTATAATAAAATGTTACAGTTGTTCTATACTAAGAAAAATCTTTTTATGTACATTTGTGTTCATGTGTTATTGGTGTGTTTGTTTGTTGTAAATTAGTGTTTAGGTTCTTATGTGCGTATCACTCTTGATTTATTCTTTGAGTGCATTGTCTGAATAACATGGAGTTGTTATTTTCATCAAAATGCATACATTCCTAATATTAATTTAATATATAAAAATGTTCCTTTGTGAAGAAAGTTTTGTAGAACTTATATATTACATTTTAAAAACTACCCAAGATTTCTTCATTGAACTGCTCAATAGTCCATGAGTTAACTATCATTAGCAGTGTAATTGATTTAAGTCAGATAGATAACTAACAGATTAGTTAAGAACAGTACTAGAAATCAGAAATTATAAATCCTTTATTAAAAAATTGTTTGTACCGGGTACTGTATATGGTACAGTGTTAATTAAAAAGTGTTAATTTTAAGTTAAACTTTTAAGATAGACAATAATTTCTTTCTGGGTTCAATGGAGGTATTCATCCGAGGCATAGGAATGTGTCTGAAATCAAAATTAGGTTGATCAAATAGATTTTAAGCAAGCTTAGAATATATTTTATCATGGACCCTACTCATACTCTGAGTGAGGTTAAGTATTTGAAAGACAGTTTTTTACAATCATGCCACATACAACTGGGTTGTGCCATTTGTGCTCTCTTGCTATCAACTGTGTTGATATTAAAATAAAGGAATCAAACAAAACTCCAAAGATGGAATGTTAATATAGCATAAGAATATAAAGTGTGGGGGATACTTGATATTGCTGTAGACTGTTCTTGCTCATGTCATAAACTAGACTTATAGGTAACAGTGAATGCTGGACAGCTTCTGATATCTCTCTTGTAAATTTTCATAAGTTATTTAACTGCGGGAGAAGTTTATGTAAATTGTTTACATAAGTCTTTTGATTTGAAATTGAATGAGGAATATTTATTTAAATTAGAATTTCAAACACCAGTAGGACCTTTAACAACTCAAAAATTGAAATCACAAATTCTTTGATATCTCAAATTTGTTAAATCCCCTTGAAATCTCCATGAATCACAATGTTTTGTAAAATTACCTCTATAAGTTGAAGGTTAAATATTTAACCCTGATAAGTCAAATTTTAACAAATCAAATCATGTCACATGACAGTTTTTGTTCAGCAATACTCAACCTCTATAACTCAAATCTTCCCGTTATCAAGTCTGAATAACTCAAAGTTTTGCCTTACATTGCAAGTCAGCTGTATTTTGGCACTGTTGGGACATGTTTGGCAATGGCTAGTACTGTTGGTCTGCCAGTTATTGAGATTATTTTGTGCGTGTTGGACATCATTTAGTCCGTTAAGCGTAAGTGTAAAGAGTTGGCATCTGATGAAAAAAGAAGAGTGTTTAAGGCAGTTAGTTCACGATAGGTCAAATAAAAATTGCCAGGGTATTTAGATTTCGCCTTACACTTCATCGATACTCATAGGGAGAAAGAATGAGGCTGAAGGTGGATTAATCAATAAGAAAAGATGTAAGAACGGTGAGTTTAACGATGTGGACGAATGTGTTTTAACGTGGTTAAATTGGTGTTGAGATAAAAACATTCCTAAATCAGGACCGATTTTGCAAGAGAAGGCTAGTCAGTATGCCAGATAAATTCTTTTATTTTGCTTCAGTACGTATAAATAGCCTGAGCTATCTATAAAGGATTTGCTGATTTAAAAAGTTTTTGCGCGTAAAGTCGAGCTACAAAGGTTGTGACGTAACATTGCTGTCAGAATCAAATACCTTGGTATCTTAAATTTTTTTGTATAGCACCTTCATGACTCAAATTTGTATCATACTCCGTTCAGATTCGAGATATCGAGGTTCTACTGTATTTTCTATTTTGCTAAATGTTGTTTACAGAACAACAACTGTTTGGATTATTACAGTTTATTAGCCCATTGAATGATTAATCTTAAATGTTTTAGTTAAGCTCAGATTACAATTTGAATTGAAAACCAAACAAACGACTGTATAAAATTAATTGGTTCTATTCTAGAACAATTCCAAGTTAAAAGTAATTAGTCTATAACACAAACAAAATATTAGCCTGCACCGTTAACATACTGCACCCTCATCTATATCTATAGAAAAAAATGAAAGGATACTAGGCATGGATTAAATTAGGGGTTTGCTCATGGTTGGAGGATTTATACGTTAGAAGAGTGGTCATAAGTCAGTTTTGCATTGGTGCCAATTTTTTAAATCAATAAGAATCTGAAAATTTTCACAGCTCTCTTGTGACACGCATAAAAAAGTGTGCAAATTTGTTACACGACATTTAAAAATTAAATTACGTTTTAGTCATAAGAGTAAGACTAAAAGGAAGAAGAAAACACTTGTACGGAACCATAAAAGTGCATATCATTACATGTAAATGAAATGGAGGAAAAAATGTGCAGCAACATCACAATTTATAACTTTTATAGCTAACTTAGCTAACAATATCCACATTTGGTAGTTAGCTAAATAAAAATAAAAAGTTTATTCTGTTTGGCAATATAGATATACTGTAAAATTAAAAGTTTGGGTAGTGATGAGCAAGATTGTGAAGACTAGACAAGCAGTATGTACGGTACATGGACTGAGTTCAAAATATGAGCGTTTACAGTTACGCTTCTCCCACGTTGTTCAAACATATGTTTGAGTAACTTAAATTACTAAATATTTTTGTATTTAAATAGTGTTTAGAAAACCAAGTTACATAAGGTACTCAAAATGATAATCTGGTATTCCACTATACTATACATAAAATCCTCCAACAGAAGTCAGTAAGGGGAGTTACACTTCCAAACAGGGAAAGCAGATAAACAGTTTTAAATACACATCTCGTACAGTTATACAATATACATACTCATACGACCCCCATCTGCCAAATGTCATAGCTTCAGTCCTTCACAAACACACACACAACATTCTGTGTTACTGTGCAATAGAAGACACCATTAAAATAACATACAGTAGACTGTCTCTTATCGGCAGGAAGTGGCCAGTAAGTGGGTGGTACAGTAGAGTCCCGCAAACTCGGCACTCGATAACCCGGCAGTCTGGATAACTCGGCCATCACCTGGCTTAGAAAATTAGTGATATTTTGAGTCCGAGTTAAACATGGACTCAAGCCAGCTCAAGTAAAACCATTCACAACTCGCACCAAGGATTTTTTGTACCATATCTGATGACTTAATATCTGATGACTACTGACTTGTAATATAAAAGAGGAGGTTAAAAAGCTTAAAAATTGTATTGTCCTTATTTTTAACCCTAGTTCCCGATAACCCGGCATTTCACAAACTCGGCACCCTTCCAGTCCACATTATGCTGAGTTTGCGGGACTCTACTGTACTGAAACGACCGGTCTCATGGGAAAGATTTGGGACCAGTGATCACGTGTCTAAATACAATGCTCTCCTAAATTTAAGTCAAATACGCATTTAAACGGTACGTTTTAACGAGTTTTTGGGGACGTCGGTTTAACCGGAAAACCCATTATCCGGACTTGCCTCGGTCCCAAGGAGTCCAGATAAGATGCAGTCTACTGTACAGTGTACCTTGCTTAGTATAATGATTTCAACTATATGGATCCCTAAACAAAACTAAGGACCATGTCATAAATTATGACTACATGAACAATTCTTACATACAGAAATAGTCAAAGATACAGAATATAATCTGGAATTCAGCATAAAATAAAAATTACTTTGTGTTGCCATTTTCGGCCTTTGCTTTGATTTTATCACAAGATTTTGACTAGTGAAAATTACCGATCAAAATTCATATCATAACCGAAACTTTTTACAAGTTTTTGTGGTTTTGAGAATTGAGATTCGGTTTTGATACATCACTAATAATGTATGGAATTCTTTTAATTGTTTCTAATTGAAAGTTGAGTTGTACGATTTAAGGATCAATATTGAAATAGTTAAATTATTTGAGGTAGGCCCTATCACTTTAGATGTAAGTTTTCATTTGGTTGGATCAAATCACTGAATTACGAGGGCTATCCAGAAAGTGACAAACATTTTAGCATGGCATGGTAGTGGGCAGGGCTAAGACACCACCTTGCCATCAGAATGTTCATTCACTCAGTATGCAACCAGCCGTGGTAGCTATAGCATCGTGTCTTCTGTGCCTGTTATACAGTGGAGTTTTAAAATGAGTGCTGCGATTGAAAATATAACTCCAGTTGTGAAGTGTGTGGTGTGGTAAGGTTATTGTTAGCGAAAAATTACAAAACCGATTTAAATTTATTGCCAGATTTGTGATTTGTATGGCTAAGTAATAATGAGTGAACCAGATTTGGCGTTGAGAAACTATCATCTGTTCACAGCGATGAAAACGTGGCTCGCTATGCAAAGCTTTAACACTGATGCTGACCTACATGCCAGTCACGTCCTTGCATCAGTGGTTGGTTGACCTTGTAACAGAGGTTTACCACGCAAGTGGCAGATTTATACAAAGAGGGTATTGAAAAGCTTGTACTACGTTAAGATAAATTTTAATGGAAATTATGTAGAAAATAAACCTAAAAGTTCAGCCTAGTAAAGTTTTTTTTCACTTTGTATATGGTTTATTACAAAACAGCTGTTAGTTTCTGGACAGGCTTGTAGGCTATGTAAGAAACTGTCATGTTTGATTTATGTATTACTAATTAGGCACTTAAGTTAAGAGATTTTTTACCACACCAGCATTTAAAACATGTAGCCTGTATTTTGTATTGTTCCATAGTGCGATGGTATAGGCTGTTTTATTGGTGTAATTACACTCATGAGACATAATAGTTTTCTGTTTTCACCCTTATCAACTATATGAAATATATCAACTATATGAAATATATCACGGATTTTGAAGTCACGAAGTGACACAGGTTGCTAGTATTTACTAATTCCCGTATGTTGAGCCTTGTAGACCTCTATTTAACAGTGAACAAATTTTTAACAGTTGTGAATCAATTTCCCCTGTAATGTCTAATTTACACCAAAGAAACCCTGTGTAATCTTGATATGAACTCAAATGTTCGTCATCATGGGGCCATTGGTAGACACTAGACATCAGATATCAAATGATGTTTCAAGAAAAAAAAAACACTCAAAAAGTCAGTCCAGGCCTAGTAGTTAGATTCCACTTTATGGTATGCAGGAAATCGTAGATGTAGAAACCTTAGTATTATTAGTATTAGTTAATTATTAATTGACTGTGATAGTTCATATTTGTATCTGTGAAGTTATTGATATGATTTATTGTATGTTTTTTAAGTTTAATGATCAAATAAATATTGCCTATTGTCTATTAAAAAACTATTTTTGAAATATATTAATAAATTGGACTGCAAAAATGTGTTTAATTGCAGATTTTTTTAATAAAGTCCTTTTCCACAGTTGGAGAGGGGCAATTTTTTTAAAATTAGTAATAATTAGTAAAAATTAGTAAGAATATTAATTAGAAGAATTAGTAATTAAATTAGTAAGAAGTTTTAATCCAAATGTCATAAAAATTGGAGAATTTGTGTGAGAGTTGTCATAGGTCTACTTCTAGGTACATCAATAGCAATTAAAAAAAGTTTTTGACTTCTGAGGACTGCTAAGTAGAGTGGTTCTGATCTAGTTCTTACATAAAGTTTGTGGTTAAATTACTTGTCTCCAGGGGATTACACTAGGATTAATCACACCTATAACCGGGTCATTACTTTGATACTCATTTCTACATCGGAAATTTACTTTAACTTTTAACTTCATAATTTCTAGGAGCGTTTTCAAAAGTGTTAAGGATATTATACTTAGACCAATGACAAATTGTAGCAATAATTCTTAATGTAACCAAAAAACTCCTCACTAAGGAATTAGACATGTTAAACCAATAACCTCAAACTGGTATGAACTATCACTCTGTTTAAATTTTCAAAACATATTATGTAAAATATAAACAAAATTTTGAAAACTTACTTTTGGACCGGTCTTGTGAAGATTGGGATGAATTTTGAACAAATCGTACATTCCTGTTGGCTGAAGTTTCCTCCAATGTCATAACATTAGAAAGCTCATGTTCTCGTAGAGAAACTATGATAATTCTAAACATCTCCCAGTCTCCAAATCCCATTTGCACCACCTGAAAATGTTTAACGGTGCATTAACATAAGTTAGAAATTTGAGACATAAACACAACAAAATATAAAATTGCAATTATTTTAAATCAAAGGTGTAGATTTCAGAAGTTTTTATTATTTTTTGTAGGACGCTAGGCACGATCCCGTAATTGTTTTTCACATTACTTCAGGCTAGACCTAGGGGTTACGGCATTACCACTTAGATAAAATCCATAGGTGATTTCGGACCCGGGACCCCAGGAACCGGACTCCTGCACTCTAACCACTAGACCAGCTCACTCCCTCGCTTAGATTTCAGAAGTTAATGTAATACATTTAAAAAAGTTTGAATAAATCCTAGACTCCTGTAAAGTAAGATAAAATTGCAGACATCTGTCATCACTCATCAGGCCTATTAGTGATGTGTTACATTGGTGTGTTAGTGTGCACTGGTAGTTAGTGGAGTTGCTGGAGTTGCGGTCAAATTCAGGCATAAATGGGGTAAGCCTACAAAATCAGATTACATATCTGAAAGACTAACATGGCAAAAGATTTTGAATGGACCAGTAGTATACAGCCTGGTAACCAAACCAAATTACTATGGTAAACCTTCAATTGAAGAATATGACAATGCTTTCAGGCAATTGACAGACAATTTTACAAAATAGACAACTAAAGACATTAGTTAGTTCCCTGATGGGATACGTGAGAGACTTAATTAAAATAGACCATTTCATCAACAACCTTTATGAATTCCAATGCGCTACAGATGCCACAATTTATATTGTGTGTTACAATCAAATATCGGCTTGGGTTTTGAGGTATAGACTCACTCATCCTGACTTTGTTTGTGCTCTGAGAGGGAGTACAATGAAGTGGACTGCTCAAATACTACAGAGCTCATGCCTCGAGATTCATACAACCAACATCTCACAAGTAGTAATTCTCCTGTAGAAGTGGTTTTGACGACTGACAACGATGCAGGTATTACAGTAGACGCAGGAGGAACTGATGTCACTTTTGGGTCGCGCAGCCAGCCAGAACATCCTCACCAGCGACTGGTCCACGTATACGCTTATATGGTGGCAAAGAGCAACCTACTGGCAACACAAGTCAGGGGGCACAGCATCAATCAGCCAATGTACACAACCTAAACACCAGCAGCCTCCCTTCAACCATCTTCGTCCGACAGCAGGCTTCAGTGCAGCGAGACAAGCCAGCAGCAGTTTGGTGATTGTGTTGTGGAAAAGCAGAGAATAGTTCAAAGTGAAGTGATCAAGGGAAATAAATTTAATACACAAACAGCAGATGTGAACCCTTTAAGCCCTTTAATTATCCTGATATAATTGTTTTAACAGAACATAACATGAATCACTACGATATGGAAAGATTTAACCTTGATAGTTACAAAAAAATAACTCATTATTCTCGCACCACAACAACTGGAGGAGGTGTTTTAATCTTATCAAAGGAGAGCATAAAGCGGAAAACACTGCTATTAAAAATGGGAGAAGAGCTTTGCCAAGATAAAGTGTTGGAGTTATGTTGTGTTAAATTTAAAGTAGATAATTTCCACTTTTTGCTGGTAGGAATTTATATAATGAATGAATGAAATGAATGAAATAATATTTTATTTCCCATTAATTTTATACATATAAGTACATTGTATTTTTTTCTTTACTTAAATATAATACAGCAAACATTACTAACTAGATAACAAAACAAAGGTTATATACTATAAGAATAAAGCGAACAAGTGTAAAAAAAAAACCTTCTATAACAAAGGAAAAAGTCTACATAGGCAGGGCCTGTGCGTAGACTCGAGTTGTGAAAAGGTTAATTTAAATGGGAGGTAAAAAATGTTTAGGAAAATAAAAAATAATTTGTATAATTTAAAAATGCTTATATTTGTCTTGCTTGAAACTGAATTTTTAGTGTTCTGGAATTAAATTGACGATAAAAAACTCTTTCTGAAAACTGAGGTAATTTATCAAAATCTGGTGAAGATTGAAGAGGAGAGGTGGAGTGTGGTGTATTAGTCAGTCAGTGAAGGTGGTGTATCAGTGATTGTGTAGGGTCAACGATCAGGTCCGCCCAACGCGATAATGGCCTCGGTATCCTCTGAACTCAGTCCCACAAGCCACCCTACAACATGCTTCTTAAATAGAGAGAGAGAGGGTGAATTTAGAATGTTGACATTTTGATATCTGTTACACATGTTGCGATAAATGATTTGGGTTAAGTGAAAGCAATTCGTATGTGAAAATGGTTTTAAAGTTTGTGGAACATTTATACCAACATTTCAAGAAAAGCGTGTATTGTGGGGATAAAACATTTTACAAAAATATTATTAAAGTACATGTGAACTAAAATAAATTTAAAAAATAACTGCCTGGCTGTCAAAACTCCCGATTCTACAAAATGATCGTCAGTTGAATATCTAAAGTGTTTTTTAAAGCAACTTTAAGTATTGTTTTCTGCACAACAAAAACAGGTTGCAAGATAGTTTTGTAAGCACCACCAAAAGCAATAATTCCAAAAGACAACAATGATTGAACGTATGCATAGTATGCTATTTTAATTTCTTGCTCTTCAAAAATATCACTAAGTTGCCTAAATGCATAAATATATTTACGTAATTTATTTTTTAGATATTCAACATGTTCCGACCATTTCATCTTTGAATCAAAAACAATACCAAGATATTTGTATGAATCAACTTTTTCAATTTTGCTACAAAAACAAGAGTTATTGAAATGATTTCCACAGACATAAATAGTTAGGTTATCAAGTTTGTATTCGGTTATCTTGCGTAATGAAATTGGCATAAATTTGGTTTTAGATATATTAAGAGACAATACATTTTGGTCAAGCCATTTTTTTAGCAAACAGAGGTCTGATTCTGCCTTGTTTTTAACCTCCTCCCAGGATGCTCCGGTTACAAATATTAGAGTATCATCAGCAAATAATGTTAATTTTCCATCTGTTTGAATTTTAGAAATATTATTAATATAAATGAGGAATAAAACAGGACCAAGGGTCGAACCCTGGACCACACCATACTCCACTGGTAAAACATCGCTTGACACTTCACCAAGTGCGACAGTTTGTAGCCTATCAGAGAGGTAGCTGCTGAACCAAGCAAGCGAGGTGCCACACACCCCGACAAGCTCAAGTTTACGTAACAATCAACTTCTGTCCACTGAGTCAAAAGCTTTTTTCAAGTCTAAAAATATTAACATACTGTGTTTGTTGCCATAAATTGCCTCGTTAATGCATTTATTATATTTATATTTATTATATTCTATATTATATTATATAGAACCCCACATTTAGAAAACTCAAGAGTTTTTAAACCTACTGAATTAACTTATTAATAATCTAGTAAGAAAAGAAAAACATTTGATTATAATTGGTGACTTAAATATTGACACTCTTAAAGATTCACCAGAGCTAAAAGAGTTAAAAAGTATTCTCCTGAGATGTGGTATGAATTATAAACCACCAAATATCTACATGTAATTAAATACCGACATGTCATTAAATATCGACAGGCTCAGTTTTTAACTAGAAAAATAAGGTCGTTGAGAATTAATTTTAGTCGTTTTTGGTTCTGTGACGTAGCCTGGTCTGTTTTCTGCGCGCCGAATTGGCGGGAAGAGTGTGTTTTTTTTTTTTGTAAGTTCAGTACTGAACTATCTTTCAGAGCGACCTCACGAACTCTTCAATTTCGGTAAAGTATCTTATGCTTTTTGCGTAAGGAAACTGACATTTTCCTTAAGGGATTACAAATAACTGATGATTGTAGGACGTAAAAAAAATATGTTATTCAATAAGTATTAGTTTAAAGTTGTTAATAGATCAAAAACGGTAGCTGAAAGATCTTTTTTTATTTAATTATGAGGGTGTCGATTTTTGATTCATTATTACCTTGAGTTTATTAAATATCGACGCCGATGTCGATACTTAATTAATTCAATATCTAGCAATAATGTTTTATCGACAGATACTTAAAAATGTTATTTAGTTGATTTTTATTAATGTATTTTAATATTAAAACACGAATATAAATAACTGTGTAATGGTCAGATATAACTGGAATACTATGATGATGAACGCTGATTTTCTTATTGTTATATCATAAAAATCTCCTGTCAACGGCTTACCCAAAGTAGTGGAAACAATGTCCCGGGGATGTGGAAGCGAAAGGGTAAGCAAGGGTTGCGCTGGTACTTATCCGCAGTACAGGGGGGAAACGCCTCTTTGGTGGGCTTGGCACTGATGAGGTAGGCCAAAGCCAGACAACCCGAGCCGGTCCTCCAAGGTCATGTGGGGGTTGAGCGTTGGGCCAACAACTCACCTCGGAAAAATCATATGTTCAGAAACAACAACACAATGCCTCGGAGTTAGGATGGAATCTAAGGATCAGACCAAAGATACACCAAAAAGGACTAAGATTTGGAATGTGGAACACAAGGACTTTAGCAATACCTGGAGCCATAGACATATTATCCGAAGAACTGCACCGATACAAAATGGATGGCATTGCAAGAAACAAGATGGCCAATGGCAAGAAAAATTAATACTAGAGAATATGTTATTTATTACAGTGGAAACAATGATGGAAGTTACCATTGGGGAGTAGGCTTTGCTGTAAGTAGAAGGATCCAACATGCTGAGATATTCTTTGAAGCCAAAGACAAGAGATTATGTACAATTAGAATTAAGGGTAGGTTTAAAAACTTATCTGTGATAAGCTTCTATGCTCCGACCGAAGATGCAGAAGATGAAGAAAAAGACAAACTCTATTAAATTCTAGAAGAAGAGAAGAGTGGAGGAATTTACCTAATTATTAGGGATGGTCAAGTCTCGAAATTTTGGGAAATTTTAAATCTCGTTACACGAGACAAGATTTCTTTTTGGCCGAGATTTTTATCGAGACGAGAATAAAAAAAAAAAAAATTAAAAACGCCTGCAGAAAGTCAATGCAATACCCGCAATACAGGAGCGTGTTGTGGTTGTG